TCCAACATGCGAATCATCTGCCACAATATCCACTGGTCATTAGGACCTATCACCTTGAACGTCGGCCTCGCGCAACGGCGGGTGTTTCCGGCCGTAGACGTGACGCAACAGATGAATTTGCCCTCCGCCGGCGCCGCCCTTCTCCCTGAACCCGCCAAATGGTGCGTACAGCAACTGAGGATGATGTGGGCGGAGGCCCTGGATAAGGAGGCGGGCGCGAAGTTGGCAGAAAGATTGGGAATCCAGGCGGTGGAGGAGGGGGAAGAAGGGAAGGTGGAGTGGCTGGAGTACCTGAAAAAGGTCCGGATACTTTTTGAGCAACGCGGCCCCAGTGGGGAAGGGGCAGTCTTGTGGACAGACGAGGCAGGGTTGGTGCTTTTGCTGATGTGCTGCTTGCAAAGGCAGGTGCTGGGGCACCTGGACGCGGGGACTGTGAGGGCCTTGGAGCGGATCATGGCGGAGGAGCTGCCGAGGGCTGCGGGGTGGCGGAAGTTGAGGAGGGAGGTCGAGGCCCTGACGCAGCATGCAGACGTGCGGACGGTGGCAGAAGCATTTGCAGAGGCACATATGACAGCTCAAAGGAGGGTGAAGGGGGTAGAGAGGGAGGGGGACGGCGGAAGGGGGGAGTTCGGGCAAGGAGGCTTCACGTCACCTTCCATTGGGAAAGAGGGGCTGGCACTGAACGAGGAGGTGAATCGGGTGTATAAGCGATGCTCGGATGTACTTGCTCATGCCATCAATTACGCGCAGAAAAAGCAGCAGATTGCTAAGCTTACGAATTCCGCAGACGAGGCGGGGGATATTGCCAGAAGTCGCTCACAGACAAATGTGAGCCGTAGGAGATGATAGCGGCGCTTTTGACCGCGAACTCACGCATTTAATGTATTCGAAACACGCTTTTTAAGATCTCAAATGAAACATGTATCCGTATGCTCTCCATATCCGTCCTCACGTACGAAAGTGTAAAGGCTTCTCCATTTTACTTTTTGTGTTTCTGTCTTCACAGTCTTTCTCTGCGAGCTGTGAGAGGGTCATGCCCTTTATGGGCACGACGGCAGGATTTTGATTTTTGAAAGAACTTCTTTCGGCTGTAAGTCTTCAAAAAAGAAGAAAGCGGGGACGGAAACTTCTTGCTTGTGTGTTATACATTACAAAGTCCTCTACAATTCTACAGTCCTAATTGTTCACGCGACTTCACGCAGCAGACCAGATTTATAGCTTTGCATGATCGTCTCCGAGCATTTCAGAATGCTATAATATGGAATGATCTTCCGCTGGCACCTCATTATGCGATACGCACTCCATATAAACACAGGTATCCCTGTCCGCTATGCTTTCATGACCACATGAATTCAGTGGCTGAGCACGCACAAAAGGCGACGTCCAGGCAATCGGGGGACATACAGTAGCACAATACTTCCTAAGAAAGATGTCGTACGCCGAAAGACACGCAACTACTTCAAGAGGGATCGATATTTCTTTGAATTGTAGGTGTAACCTCCCCCCACAAACGTCGACGTATGCGATAATGGCGACGATATCGCGAGGCCAGGCGCAGGCGCGCGGTTTCATGACAAATATAGCTGCCCCATATCGACACAGTCTTATCTCTCGTTCCCCGCACGTAGAAATATTGGTCGTGGGCAACAATATTCAACTCCTACACCTTTGAGTGGGAGTCTTTCTCAGTGGCTGAGAACCACTTCTCACTTGAAGTTGGCTGATAATGGCAAGCAGCATGAGCAGCAGAAGCGCCATTGCTGTCCCTCCCACGTCCTACATATCAATCCGTCGCTCCTCCCTCTTGCTCATTACTTTGGGCTCATTCGCATTGGGCACTCTTATTGCGAACATGACTTCCCGGTCCTGGCGGAGGGTACAACGCTACATAGACTCCCGGCGTAGCAATGGAGGGCGCCGGCCAGTGATCGTCTGCTTTGGAGACAGTATCACACAGGGAGGGCACAGCCCCGAACACGTGGGGTGGGTGGGTCGGTTGGAGGATTTTTATTGCCGGAAAGCGGACGTTTTAAATCGAGGTTTCAGCGGGTACAACACAGACTGGTTGTCTCGGATGTTGGTGGACCTCTTTTCCCGTATGTTCAGACGGAGACCACCTGTATTGGTGACGATATGGCTTGGTGCCAACGATGCTACGGTAGAAAGCTCACGGCAGCACGTGCCCCTGTGGAAATACAAGGAAAATTTGGAGAAAATGGTCCGGTTTTTCAAGGGCTTGGGTCGGCGTGATCGTCAAGTACGTCGGGCGGAATCCGGGACGGAGGGAGCGACGAGGCCTGACTCACGGTGCTTGCGTGTATCCAACGACTATGTCCCTAATATATGTGGCGCAGACTCCTTTTCCATGGAGGCCAACGTCTGTGTTTGTACCACTCCCTACTGATCTCGAACCCCCTCTTGCTCTTCCCTACCAGGTGGCCATCCTCCTCGTCACTCCCCCCCCTTTGCACGAAGGGAAATGGCTTGCATTCCTCCGCTCGTCGTGCCCAACCTCCCTCCTCGACCGGTCCTTCGCGCGCACTGCTTCCTACGCCCTGGCAGCTCGAGAGGTGGGGCAGGCCATAAAAGTCCCGGTAGTGGACATACACGCCTCGTTTGGGGTCCAGATCGAGGAGGCGGTGGGAGGGGAGGGAATGCCCCAAGACGAGACCTACGCCAGCTTTCTCTCGGACGGCTTGCACCTGAATGAGAAGGGGAACAGAAGGGCCTTTGAAGCGGTGAGAGACAGTATCAAGCACCATTTCCCCTGGCTGGATCCCATCAATCTGGAGACGCAGGCCCCGGGGTGGGAGAGCTTACGGTCGCTGTACTTGGACGAAGCCGAGGGCAGGGGGGAGAAAGGGGAGGGCGGTACCGTGCCTTTGTACAGCAGTAAGAGCAGCGTCATTTTCAATGCGTACTAGGCGTGCTGGAGAGAAAGTAACGGGGCAAAGGTCAGAGACGGCAGGGCACCCACGACGTTCAAGCTGGTGAGCTCGACTCATGAGCAGTCCTAGGGATCGGGGTATCGTGATCCCTCAATAACTAAATTTAACACATTTTTGGCGTTGTGTGCACCAGCGTTGGGTTATGACCTTTTGCAGCGCACTTTGTGGTATGGTTCTTTGAAAGCTGCAAGCCTGGCGCTCGACCATCTCCTCGCCTTCCTTTCTCGCCTTCTCTCTGCTTTACGCCCCTCGCTTTATCCCGGGGCGGCCACCCCTGTGGAGTATGTGCCACCTTCCCCATCTTTTCCACATCGTGAACACGACAGAGCGTCTTCCATCCATCCCTTGGTGCTCCTCCGTGGCTCTCCCCTTTGGATGCGCCCTTTCAAAGCAATTTCCCGGACAGATATTGCTGGCCTCAATCTTGAGAGTCGACAAAGGTCTTTCCGCTGGCACGCAGGCAAGGAGATAGGGAGAAGGCCACGCCTTACTCGCGCGGCCTGGCTTCGCCGCCATGGCCCCTCTATACCCCGGGCCCTCTATGGAACATTCATATTCTTCCCTCCTGTCCTTCCTAGCCCCCCCCCCTGGCCAGCCGATCACCGTGGCGTTGCTCTCTTCTCCCCCGCCCCCGCATACCGGGCCTTGGAATTACTCCACGGCACGTAGCGATGCTTGATCATATGCCGGATCTGCCTCTTCATCGTCAAGATGAAGAGGCTTACGAAATACAGGAGAAGAATGGGCCAGTATACAGGCACGTCGAAAAATTCAAAAAAAGTCATGGTAAACGCGATCCACGTCGCCTTGGCGCACTGGTACCAAAATTTAAATTCGGGCAAACGGCGGGCAAAGGGGCGGTATTCCTCCGACTCCTGCGTAGGGAGCAACGGGCCTTCCGATTCTGGATCCATTTGCGGTGAGAGGAAGCCGATGAAATTGTTGAGAAGATAGATGCCAAGTCCGTAGGTGACGATGAACCATCCGTTGATGTAGAAGACCCGCACGGCGTAGAGCGTGAGCATCGCCGCAAAGATGACCCATCGAAGGCCCACATGGACGGTCGATTGGTCCAGTATGTGCTGCCATTTCCTGTCAGAGAGATGGAAAGGGGCGAGTTGTTTTTCAAGGCAGTTGTGCGTTGAGAGAACGTTTCAGCCGCCGCGAAAGAAGTTGGAGGGCTCTGGGAATACCCCATCAATGCGTGGACATGCCGACACTCTCGGGTCGGCACTACATGCAGAGGCTCCCACTTCAGGAATCCAACATGCGAATCATCTGCCACAATATCCACTGGTCATTAGGACCTGTTTGACATTACTTGCGGGCAGGAGTGTCTGGTGGAAGGGCATGTACCCTGCATGCATTTCGCCTCGGGAGGCCCCACCACCGAAACCCAGAGTCAGCAAAAACCATACAATAATGATACGTGTTCACGCTGTCGGAGCCTGCCAGGGTTCTTCCGGCTCTCTTTGCTCCCTTTAAGGAAGACTCCCCACCTTTTGACACGGCAGGTAACGCCTGCTTTGATTCGATCACGCACCTTTGCCAAGAGACCACAAATTGCTCCACAACGCTTGACTCTCCACCCGCTTCCATCTTTGACTGAACGGGACGAGTTAGTTGACTCGACAGGATAAGTTTTACAGACAAAGGGGAACTAGAATCCTCGACAATGGACTCGCTCGATTCTGAGGTGCTCTTTGAGCGAGGAAGGCCTCAGGGAAACCCTGCGTACACAGAGTTAAATGACACGCCTAGGCCACGACGTTCCGGTAGGGCTCGCAACAGATCGATGGTGAGGAGAGATGTGAAGACCTGATTGTGGGAAGGGGTCGTCCATGCGTGGGTGGGGTGGTCAGCTTGCGTTTGAAAGGAACAAAAACATACTTTCCGGTGCCCAAAGCTTCGCTCGTCTCGCTCCCGTCGCCTGCCACAGACCTTATCACCCCAATGTGTAAAAAAGAAAAGTGTCTTTTCCTCTTATCTTCTCACCTAAAAATGTCTTTTGATTTATTCAAAGTAGATTGAACATTTGAAGCACCGGAATGTTCTTTTTCAATACTTTTTACGGTCGGATTGCTCGCTGTGGCTGCCAAGCTTCCTCTCTCAGTCTCAATCCTGATGCCTACCTCCATCACTCCAATAGGCACCACTATTCAACTCAAGCCTTCATGGTGAACAAAAAACGAAAACACCGTGTGCGCGTTGCATTGTCAGACTTGGAACAGCCAGAAATATGCTTGGGCACGCTCCTGTGCGGGAAAGCCGGCAGTGCGGGGGAAGAGGATGACAGGTCAGTGCCCCCGTGAGGATCAAAGAGATGACAGTCCACCAGAGTGGGCATGTGACGGATATTTTGGCATGTAATCTCAGGAAGCGAACTCAATCAAAAATGTTCTTCTTCATCACCCGCCCCCACAACCTCTGGCTGTGCTGGACAATACAGGAAAAAAATGAAAAAGAAAAAGCAGTCACGCTCCGACTTGAGCGTCTCCGGTGGTCCCTCCCACTCTCCGCCACCTTTCCATGAAAATGACGATGATGATCCTTGGGGTAGAGCAGGGAATATATTGACGCAACTGGAGCAGAAATATTCCGTCCACGGGGGCATTCGTCCTAGCCCGGGGAGAGGCGACGGGGCCCTGGGCGAGGAAGGAAAACCGCGGCCGCGGAAGAAGAGGACCCGCCAAGATGTACGTGGGTGAGGAAGGGATGGAGAGCGTCTGCGGTGGTCGAAGACGGCCTATTTTTCATCGCCGCGTCATGTGATGTGACGACAGCTGTCCGGAGGCCTGCCCCGACCCCCCCTCCCCCCTGTCCGTCTTCCCCGCACAGGACATGTACGAACTGGACGACGACTTCATCGACGACTCGGCGCTTTTTGAAATGTTCGAGAAGCAACACGAGGCCCAGTCGGTGGTGACCAAGTACACGGGGTTCTTCGTGAACAAGGGCGACCTAGAGGTGGTCGGACACAAGGAGGGGTCACGAGCTAGCCTGGGGGCAGGCCCAGGGAAGGAGAGGAAGAAGAAGGCGAGAAAAAGTGGGGGGGAAAGGGACGCGCCGGGAAAGAAGAAGAGGACGGGGGAGGGAGAGGAGGGCAGTGGGGGCGTTGGTGAAGGTGGGGGCCATGCCAAAGGGAGGAAGACGAAGGGAGGGAAGGCGGGCCCGGGGGGGGACGAGGGGAGTGTGGTCAGCACCGGGAGCACGAAGACTGCCGGCGAAGGAGGTGGCTCGACGAGCAGTAAACAGAATCAGAAAATCAAAGGCCGGGAAATGGAGGGAGCAGCCCTGCGTGAATTCAAAGGGCGGGTTGCGGAGTGGGGCCGGGGAGGAGAGGGGGAGACGGCAAAGCCTTCGGACTCTGGAACGGCCGAAAGTATTCCCAGCACCTGGTTGCCTTTGGAGGATGACGGGGATAGCGCGTTGTCCGTAAAGAAGGACTCGGAGGGTTTGCCTCCGTCCTTGCGAGGGGCTGCCTTGGCTTTGGACGTGGTCATGCGCCGAAAGGGAGGGGAACCCAGATGGAGAAGTGCGCAGCCGGGGGAGCAAGGGATGAGTTCTTCGTATATAGATATAGTCTTACAGACGGCATTCCCCCTCAAAATGGGGAAAGAGCAAAACGTGGAATCGATTCGGAAGGCGTGGCGGAAGGGACTGGCAGAGGCAGCGCTAGCACGTGTGAAAGAGTTGGACACATCAATCGAAAAAAGTTTGAATGACTTCGGGCGACATTACGAGTTGAAGAAAGAGAGGCTGCTAAAGCGGAGCTCGGCCGGCGGTAAAACGGAGGGCAAAGTTGGGGAAGGACACGAAGAAGGGAAAGAACAGGGAAAGGAAATGCAGGGTATGCCCCCGCCCAGGTCGGTGGCGCTGGACGCGAAGTTGAAGCATTACATCGTCACGTTGTTGTCGAGTTTGAAAGAGCGTTGCAACATTCAGGCCTTGTACGCGGGTCAAGGGATAGAGGGTGGAGCGGACCAAGTGGAGGCGGGGGGGTTGCTTCCCCGGGTGGCCCCCAGATACGAAGAAGAGGAGCGGAGGACGTTGTTGGAATTGGCCAACACCTGGCCGAACGGGGAGATGAAAATACCGCGTCTGCGGCGGGCTTTGAATGCTTACAAGGGCAAACAAAACTTGTTGCAGAGCGTGGCAGGCGTCGCGGGAGGAGGACCCGGTCGAGAAGAAAAAGTGGAGGCAGCGGGTGGAACGTCATCGACATCGAGCAAAGAATCGCATGGAAAGGACAGGAAAGTTGGAAAGGGGCTCGTCGAGAAGGTCATGACAGGAAAGAAAGTCAAGAAGACGGCCGAGGTACGGAGGCAGGTGGGTCCTCGGAAGGGGAGTTTTGTTAACTTGCAAGTACGGCCTTACGACCCAAAAGATTTCGAGGTTGACGCTAAAAAAGTTTAAGATGAGTGGAACGAGGAAGGAAGAGCGGAGATATGGACATCTGACGAAATAAAGACGAGAGTGATCAGAGGAACAAAGTACCGGTAATGGAAAAGCGACGTCTTCCTGATAGCCATATTGTTGACGCAGAAGTACCTGTTGCCTCAGGGCTCGCGGCTGGTGGAATTCTTAACATTTATGCAAGCACCATCGCTATAGCATGCACCTGGCGCCACAGCGACTTTTTGGCTCCGGAGGCATGCTCTGTTGCTTTCTTCCAGGCACGCGGTGCTCTAGGCTGCTCAGTTAGCACATGCTTTGACCTCCTGTTCTGTTAAGCTTCCCAAAGCTCCCTGTTCTCCTATACTGGCTACTTCTTCCCTTCTTTTGTCAGAAATGGCGTTGCCATAGACGAGCGTTAACATGTCCTTCGCTCTCATTGCTCTCTTCATCCTCCTATCAGGCTCTATTGTGCTCTCAAATCTTGTCCAAGGACAACATGACATAATTCAATACTGGTCTTTTAAAGTCACTTTAAACACGCGCAAATTTACATGATGATGCACGAAGTTTGATTCGCTCAACTTCGCTTCTACTGCTACATTACACCGCAGAAATGGGGATCCTGATGATACTTAAATGAACTTAGCTTCTACTAACCCTTGCGTCATAGTGCGTGAAACAATTGTTGCAATCTGGTGTCTTCAATCTCTTCTTGTTGAGTTGGGGACTCTTCCTTCTACTTTCCATTCTCCTCTTTTTCCTTTCTTCTCACTCGTGCCACCCCTTTACAAACGAACTATCCGTGGCGACGTTCATTAATTGTGGAAGTAGTCATGGGAAGCGAATCAGGTTTGAATGAAGCCTGAGCATTCTGAGAAACGTAGCGATTGCACGCGTGGGGATGGTAGTTGTATTCGTGGAAGAGGTGGACTGGAGGCGAGCCACCCGAGCTGTTGCACGCATAGACGTGGGAAGGAGGCGCATGATATTGGTTTGTAGTCACCTGCCCCCCGTCAGAAAAGACGAAAAATTCCGCAGGCCTCATACGGGAAGAGGCCGATGCAACACGTGCACGATGACTGGTAGCGGTGGTGAGGTCGGCGTGGCCCACTATGGCATGCGAGTGCGGGTGGGGGGGGGG